GGGGGGGGGGGGGATTGATAGATTCTCATAATTATATATTGACCACGGGCGAACGGTGTGTTTTTCAATTATCAAGATGACGAGATAAAAAGTCATAGGGGAGGAGATTGATAGGAGGATTCGATAAGAGGATCCTAATAGTCTCGCACGGTGTCAAGAACCCTGACGATCTACAGGAGTGACTCGAGAGAGAAACACCCAGAGCCCGAAGTAGACGCCAGTGGGACTGCGCGAAGTCCTGATGATGGATGACTTACGGGAAGTTGGTGAAAAAGTGAATAAAAACGTAGATAAGGATAAAAATAAATGAGCGTCTCATTATTAGTGTAAATCATTAATCATACAGCGCCCCGAGTCATTTACATACTAATGTCTCCGGCGTCCCTTGCTTTATTCGCACAGCGCCAGTTTCCAATGTCTTGATACGATCAGCCCGGCTACACCGTCTTACTGCCCTGACAAAGGAAGATACATACAGTTACCCGTGTAATTTAGCATTAAATCACCAAACACCCACCGAACGTTCCATCTTGCAGAGATCGCGCACGGAAGCCGTCATCGAGGTTTCTCTTGAATCGCTTTGAAGTAACGATTTTGTAATGACGGTTAGCCGCGCATGCGCAGACCGCTCGCCGCTTCCACGCAGCCACGTAACAGGCGGCCGCCTCAGCGACTCCCGTGGCAATGCCCGTCGACGAAGGCGCGAGCCTTCCTCCAGTAACCAGGAGGCTGGCAGCCGGGGATCCAGGAGCCAGCAAGACATCGGACATCGTGACCCCGAGTTCCTTCCCCCGAGGCTGTGGCGGACGGCTCGCGAATATCCCCACCAGGTGGGTATCTGGCAGGGGAGGGACGGCAGGGGCGTTACCCCCACCCTGAGCAGCCACGCGAGTTCATTCATGAGATCGTGGGAACGTGCCTCCTGGAGAGCCCCTCCGGCAGCGCAGCCTGCCTACCATCTAGGAACACGGGCTCTCTCCACCTCCTCCGTAGGTACCTATCCATGTCTTAACCTGGACTCTGTCCCTCTCATACTAACCTCTGCTTATCTCTTGTTCCTCTCTCACTCTAGCAGCACCCGGGACTGCCTCTCATCATCTAGAACCACCACCTCCTCCTTCAGCTCCTCCACCTCTCCTTCGGAGCCTGGCCGCTTACCTGCCCGAGCGATCGCGAGCAGCTCCTCACAACTGGTACAGTGGCTGCCACAAGTTACGTCACCCCATTGCTCGGATGAACCTTTTTCCTGGGGTCACTTTGACATCTAAACCCACGGACGTCCCCAGCTGGAACGGACTTGGACCGTTCACGATGTCCATCCGGACTTGGTCCGTTCGCACGGAACCTAAAGCGCCGTAGGATTAGATAACGCGAGGACGCAGTCTAGGATGGGCGAAGCACTGTTGTATTTAGGTATTTAGATGCGTCCTCGTGGACTTTTGCGATGCGTTGTACCTGACGACCTCTGCGTGGCCGGCAGCCGGCGGAGACATAATTGCGGCTCGTAATCATGGCGCAGGGCCCCTGGGGCACACGAGGCTGCACTGCTCCTCCGTCGCCCCTGGCTCTGGTCTATCCATTCGTTTCTCCTTCCTCGCGTCTTCTTGATCGTAGCTCATGCTAGGCCCTCGGGCCTCGGCTATGCCGGCCGCTCGTTGCGCGTCCCAGTCGGGGCGGCGTTATTACTCCTGGCGAAGATACGGCACGCCGCGTGTTTTACGGCTGAACGTTTATGCGCCATTTCGAGTCTCTTAACGTTCCTCATGAAGTGGCAGCGGGCACGATGTATCAAGACGCCACGACCATTATTATATGGCTATTCCTGTGTAATAGAACGTTCCTTCTAAGATGCGCAGTATTAAGTACGAACTCCGATGCATTGGGTTCTTTTGTTCAACGCGTAAAACGTGCCTCCACTTGGCTCCTGGCCGCTGAGAGGATATCAAACAGGATCTCCTTCGGGAAGGAAGCGCGTCCTTGACTCTGGAGGATTTTTACTCTTATTTCTACTAGATTTTTATACGATAGACCTAGCCTCGACGCGGCCCGCGAGTAGTCGCAGCTAATGGCCCGTGACCACCGAGATCGGATAGGCCTGCGGAACCAAGTGGTTTCCGTTGCTTCGGACCTAGTATATAATTCATAAATATAACTCCAGGACCAAATCCACTCGTTGGATCTGTCGGTACCTGTCGTTCTCTGATCGACCAATTGCATTGGATCCGTTCAGACGCGTTTCCCCTTTGTGAACCACGTATCCACTGAGGTCTTCCGAACCTTGGGTCTCCGCGAGCAGGAAGGCCTGGCTCTGTTACCTCGATAAAAATCCTATCAGAGTTACAAGACTGCCGTATGGATACACGCGTACATCCAAGACCCGCGGCTAACAGCCGGTGGAGACTCGGGTAGCCGTCGTAATTTATTATCTTGTAGCCCGGCGCCTTCTTCGCAACCTCAGCTAATCCTCAGTACTCCAAGGCGCAGCGTCTCCTCGCGCTCCTGCATAGAAAAGACTGTCCCTGCATTCCAAGCGACTGCTTAGCCACTAGAGCCACTTGCCGAGGACTCCGGTACAGCAGACTGCCGATTAGGATGGCCTCGCCTGGATACTCTTAGATCTGAACCCAGAAAATCCTTAGCCCGGTTATCCGTATCTCCTAGCGCATCCGTCTTATATCAATAATAGACGCAAGTCCGTACCACCGTAAACTGTAGGCGCCTCGCCGTCTTTAGCAGTAAAACTTTTCATAAATCAACTCTGTACAACCTCATCCTTCGAGGGACATCCGACGCTGGCACAGCCTCTGTATCACCCTAAGCCATTACCAGCGTAGCCTCTATCGAGCTTCTGCCTTCCAAGAGAGATTATAAAGATAATGAGTGCCGGGTAGCAGTGTTGCAGCAACCGGCAGCAGCATCATCTCCCAGTACCAGGAGCCAGCGCTAGGTCCTCGCTCCCAACAAATTGCCGGGTTCATTCATCCTCCGCGATAGAGAAAAACTAGCCGCGCTGGCCCTCCTTGGTCTCCTTCGTCCCGTCGCGCCTTCCGCCGTGGCCGTCTCTCCAGCATCACTTGGTCCCCCTGCCTATGGACCTCTAGTCTCATCCTGCAGCGCGGCCTCACTAAATATCCCCGCGAGAGATAATTATTTCGTAACGCACGCTGTTTTATAACGAACCTCCGTTTGATCGCTCTCCTACTTGCCCTACGCACCACTGTACATGCGTGTATCCCCGTGGTACCCAACCTTCCTTACCAAACGCCCAGGGACACTAGAGCCGGATAATGACACCTTCCTAAAGAAACCTCTCTTAGACCTCCCAGCCTCCCGTCTTGGCTCTCTCGTCTTTCGCTCCTCTCTCATTCCTTCCTTTGTTACTCTTTGGCTTCGTTGCGCCTTAAACGCTACTACCGGGCACCCTGGGACTTTGCTCCTTGGCTAGATCGGACTCTTACGTGGATCCTATAACGTTCATGGGATAGGTACAGGAAACAAGCTGATCCGAGATGCGTATCGTCGATGAGCTAATAGCGATTCCGTTAGATCGTCGCGAAAGGTGGAAGAGGAGTGTAGGTCGAGCACAACTTCCGGTTATATCGCCGAACGTACATTCTGTATATTATTAATCGGTGGCATTAAACGTCAATGGGAAACGTCATAAATTAATGCGATACGTGACTCATTCTCTGTTAGATTTTAATCATTTTCATATTATCCGCTGACTAATATGTGATTAGTGGCGCGGAGTGTGGTTTTCTTCTTTAAACCTGTTCCCTTGGCTGATCTATCGATAGTAAGGATACGCGTATGTATGTATACCAAGTGTCCCACGTATACGCACTCCTTACGGCCGTTTACCCGTAATTCAGCAGGCCTTTTCCAATAAGCGATCCTTTCCCGCAATGCGTATCCACGGCTCGCCGCTTACGATGCCTCTTAATTAAATGCCACCGTATCTCGACTGGCCATACGTTCCCACGTGCTCGTAATTTTCATGCGGCATGTTAGGTACCCGTGTTACCAGCATCTACACTCTCGTACACCGAGCTACGGGGAAGGCTGTCTTATTATTTTTCTTCGCCTCTCTAACTCGTCTTTCTCGGACTTCTTTTCCGTATGGCATATATTTGTATACGTATAACTTACCGTTAACTTTGTACGTGACAGAATGAATAATTGTACTAAGGATGTAAAAAAAAAATGTACGTCAGGACTCTGTATTAGAATAAGGTAAAGTCCCTGGTTGGGGTTAGCAATTTTACTGGGAGCGCAGAGGTGTCGATGTGAATGATCCTTTTATTAGCGGGACGCGCATATGTACAGCCAAATTAGCCGTGGCTCAGCGGCGTGGCTACAGACGATCGACTGGTACACAAGGGTGCTGGTGTCCCGGGCGTGGACAGAGTCCGAGTAGGAAGCGGTGCGAAAGAACGACCGTCTTCTGTCTCCGTCTATCGATAGCTTATGGCTTGATCAGTGAACCCTCGATTAGCATAAATTAATAACCAATCGTGTTAACCCGCCCAGAGGAAGCTCTCCGGTATAACCAGATACCGATCGCTGTTTCGAGTTGGGTAAAAAAAAAATCAAAAATCGCAAGACGGTCTTTGGGCACGTTTAAAATAGATACCCGTGAGAACGTAAGTTTGGGCCTCGGAGGAAAGTTTACTAGATTTTCCCATTCGTCATTTGTATTCGTATGATTTCGTGAATTTCGTTATACAGGATGTGAGTGAATGTTATTATTATTTAAGTCCCGCGACCGAAACGAGATTAAAGAAAAGTAGTACCGCCGACCGGGCACGTCGCTCTGGAGCCACTTCCTCCCGTGGCGGTCAGCGTTATCAGCATTCTTAACCGCGAGCGAGTTTTGTATTTTAGATAAGAAAACGACGGCCGATTCGTCCTCGGTTCCCCGTGGTCCTTAAGCGCGGAACGCGGTTGGCTCCGCGTCCTGGTGGGACGACGGGCGTCCTGTCGCCCGCAGGAGCCAGCTAGTACGTATTCGCTAGTACGGCCAAGATCCCCAGGATATCCAGGTCCGTCCTGATACTCGGCCAGTGCTCTCTTCCGGTTCCCGTCCCGGAGGACGTCGGAGGTGCCACTCCGACCCGTCATTCACATTCCGCGTCAGCCCGTCCGTGCGAGGTGAGTTCTCATCTGGGTCCACGTCCCACTGCTCAGCTAGAACGTACAGCCACCCTCGACAGAGTCCCCGCAGCACCTGGACAGCAGCGGCCAGTCAGCCAGTTGACCAGGACGCCTCTGCCGTCCTCGTAGCCCACGTGGAACGCCTTCGACTCCGCGTTACTTCATCCCTGCCTTCTGCTTCCTTTCCTCATCTCCATGGCCCAGCCACCGGACCCCGACCCGATCCGCGGCACCTGACATTCCTGACATTCTCGCCTATCCGGCGCGTTGGGTTCTCTTATTTCTTTGCAAAGACGTATCCTGGGGAAATGCATTTCCCGTTGGTACGTTAATCGATCCGGAGTTGCGTAATGGCTGGTTACGTTCTTGCGACAGAGGATATATATATATATATACTTTATAAGGGAGCGAGAGAGACAGGACGTGCACTCAGAAAGATATCAAGAGAGACGCAAAGGGCTATGCCGAGACTCCGTAAAGTTCTCCCTACATTCTTGTCAATGGGTGAGAGATGGTTTTTGGATTACTGTAAAAATAATTGCCGACGAGTCGTCCGACGTAATCGTTGACGTTCACTTTGAAAATTTTTTTTTTTATTTTTTTATTTTTTTACCCCGAAAAATATATTTCCTTACACCCTGCGATCGATTCCAGACTCTGTACAGGAAGAGACTGACGTGTACGGTTGTCGCGTTGATTTTTGTATAGTAAAGAAAAAGAGCCCGTTGATGCGAAATTCCAACGTTACGATTTGGTCGTTATTGGTTTATTATTGCCACGCTTCTGATTCACCCGAAGTCGACTGGTGTATGCGCGCCGATTAACTGCCCCTC